CGGAGTAGGATTCCTCTGCCAGTCGCAGGATTTGAACCGGCAACCTTCCAGCCACAGGCACAGAGCCACTGCTCCACTCCAGTTACTAGACTGTAACTGCTACTTCTAACACTGCTCTTGCTGCTAAAGTTACAGCTACTGTTACTACTACTACTACATCTGTTCCAATTCCTAGCAGGACTACTGCTACTACAATTAGTACTGCTACAACTACTACTGTAACTGCAGGACAGCAGGGTTAACACCTCTTACCAACAGTGTCCTGGGATGTGTAATGGCTAATAATAATAATAATAATAATAATAATTCCTTACACTTATTTAGAGCTTTTCTGGATAGTCAACTCATAGTGCTTTACTGGTTCTGGGGAATCCCACTACCCCCACCAATGTGATGGGGATTAGTAGGAGGCCATGACTGGTAAAGGCCAGGAGGAAATTTGGCCAGGACACTGGGATATATAGTGGTCACTCGTTAGGCTGTATAATTACTGAGCAGCCCAGTGTTGTGTAATTGCTCCTCATTCATCTTTGACAGTCTAAGAGTATCAGGAAAATGCAAGAATTATTTTTCACATAAAAAATAAATAAAAAAGGTCTTCTGTCTTGAACGCACCCCAGAAACAATTTTAATACACATATTTTAGACTGTTTATTTTGATGACGTTGTCGTTAAGTGATATATATTTACAAAAGCAAAGTCACATTTCTTGTGTGGTTAAAAAACACATGGCACGGCCTCACAAAACTACAACACTCAGGATTAAAAAAAACATACTACTACCGTGGTAGTCTTAAAAACACATAACCCCACCCCCAACCCTTAAAAAAAAAATCAGGTTTCCAGAAGTGACCAACATCAAGAAGAGTTCCGTTCCCAACAGCTGCAGGGGAGACCTCGGCGTATCGCTCGCTGCCCTGTGAGGTCGTCGACTGGCCACCAGGAGGCGCCAGAGACCCGCGGCAGCCGTGCCGAAGTGCCTCCGGGTTTTGCTCCAGTTTGGTTTGCGGGGAGACTCGCTAATCTCATCAGCGGTCCAGGGGGGCGCAATTCACATTGGCGTCAGTGGCTCCCGGCGTTTTTAAAGACACTCAGGACTCAGGATTCAGCAGCTTGAAACTGGACTTTCTTCCAGTAACTGGATTAATTAGACTGGTGAGAATCTCCCCTACCTCCCACACGCCCAAACACTCCAGCCCCTAAGACCGACCATTTACACACTAGTATAAAAACGGTACTGTGCTTTTACCCTGATCTCACTGGGCTGTACTGTGCTTTTACCCTGATATCACTGGGCTTTACTGCACCCTGTGTCGTTAAC